ACAGAAACATTAAGAGCATGATAGACAGAAACAGAAACCCTAATAACATGACAGACAGAAATATTGAAGACATGATAAACAGAAACATTAAGAGCATGATAGACAGAAACAGAAACCCTAATAACATGACAGACAGAAATATTGAAGACATGATAAACAGAAACATTAAGAGCATGATAGACAGAAACCCTGAAGACATGATAGACAGAAACCCTGAAGACATGATAGACAGAAACCATGAAGATATGATAGACAGAAACCATGAAAACATGACAGACACAAATCTTGAGGACATGATAAACAGAAACATTAAGAGCATGATAGACAGAAACAGAAACCCTAATAACATGACAGACAGAAATATTGAAGACATGATAAACAGAAACATTAAGAGCATGATAGACAGAAACCCTGAAGACATGATAGACAGAAACCCGTCTATCATGTATTCAGGGGTTCTGTCTATCATGTCTTCATGGTTTCTGTCTATCATGTCCTCAGGGTTTCTGTCTATCATGTCTTCAGGAAACCCTGAAGACATGACAGACAGAAATCTTGAGGACATGATGAACAGAAACATTAAGAGCATGAGAGACAGAAACCATGAGAACAAGTTAGACAGAAACATTGAGGATATGATAGACAGAAGTCTTGAGTACATGATAAACAGAAACCTTGTGGACATGATAGAGAAAACTTTCAGGATATGATATACAGAAACCTTGTGGTCATGATATACAGAAACCTTGTGGTCATGATAGAGTGAAACCTTTAGGGCATGTTAGACAGAAACCATGAGAACAAGTTAGACAGAAACATTGAGGATATGATAGACAGAAGTCTTGAGTACATGATAAACAGAAACCTTGTGGACATGATAGAGAAAACTTTCAGGATATGATATACAGAAACCTTGTGGTCATGATATACAGAAACCTTGTGGTCATGATAGAGTGAAACCTTTAGGGCATGTTAGGCAGAAGTGTTGAGGACATGATAGACAGAAACTTTGAAGATATGACAGATAGAAACCCTATGAACATGATAGACAGAATGTTGTGGTCCTAACGGCGAAATTTTAAATAATTAATAGTAGAAATATTGTGTACTTAATAGAGAAGAACCTTGAGTACTTGAATCACAGAAACCACGTGTGATTGGTAGACGAAATTCTTGTGTATCTGATAAACAGAAATATTTTTTACTTAATAGAAACAATGTGTCTTGTGTAATTCTTACTTCTAACTCTGACATCATATACATGTTAAGAATTAGTAATGAATGATAGTTGCTCCCCTCCCCCCCCCCATTTTATATACAGTACATCGGAAACCTCTTGGAGATGGAAATACTTCGAAAGAGTCACAGTTTCAAAACTGGCATAAAAAATTAGGCGATCTTCTTACTTCCTCGCTCCCCTCCCGCACATATTGTTTTTTTTTTTTTTTGTTAAATCTTTCCTTGATACGGAACACAATTATCAACAAGTAATTATAATGGTAAAAAAGGGATAACGATAATGAGTGAGACAGAGATGTATAGATGATAGGAAAAAGATAAAATGAGCAGGCAGACAGACATAGATAAAAGCAAAGAAACAGACAGACGGACGGGGAAGCAACTAGATACGTAAATAGACAGACAAAAAGAAGGACAGAGAGATAAAGTGACAGATTGACAGTGAAACAGAGAGACAAACAGACAGACCAACAGAAAGATAAAAGAGAGACAACATACCACAAAGATAGATAGATAATAAACTAAAATAACATTGCTTTTAGGCTTGCTTATTGTTATACATGTATTTTTGTGTTCTCACTTTTCTTTGAATATATATTGCTAATTTTAATTATTGCAAAACTAGAACTCAATACCATATGTGCTTCATCTAGCTGTAAAGCTGAAATGTCTAGAAATAGAACCTAGTATTAACTATAACTTAGAGTATTATGTACATACATATATTGGTGCTAGTTTTTTCAATTATTATAGTATAATTTTGTACAAATCCAGTTTTGAATGAAATGGAAATCTACTCATCTCTTTTAAAGCTCATGCTAAAGATTTATGTTGTGTTTGGAAGTAGTGGAATAAGAAAATGTTGAAAAATATAAGTTGTTTCAAGTTGTAGTTAATTATCAGTAAACAATGATATACTAAACGTAATACCGCTCGATAAACATCGAACAGGACGTTTTGATTTATTTTCATTTGTTTTAAACGAAAAGGAAGTTCTTTGTATTATTCCACTTGCTTATTAACTTTAAACCTACTATATATTGTTTCTCAACATCAAGGGTTGAATAAACAAAAGAAACAATAAAGACAGTATTATTTTAGATTGAACTTAACAGTTTAACACTGGTTCACCATAAAAAAGGAGCTGGATGTGAATATAATTTTTATGATTTACCAACAAAACACATTCAAGAAATGCATAATTAACAGGACACTACTACTTACTTATAGTTTCCTCATCAAATGTAAGGTTTACTCATTTACTCATTCCGTTAAATTTGTAAAAACGAAGGATGTCTTAAGAAGTTATTAAAATATGAAAACGGAAAGTTATTTAAAAAAGAATTAAACGTACTATCGTTTGAAGACTAACGGTTTCTGTATTATTATCTAAGTATGTTTCTAAGATAGATAGAAAGATATACAAGTGTGTGTGTGAATGTATATTTAGATAAGTTAAAGAATACACACTTTTTTCGTCACCTATGAATACTAGAACTCACCATGTTTTGTCGTGGCTACAGAACCCGGATACTAAATGTGAAGAGAAATAAAAAATACATTGTTTGACACAGGAATATAATAACATGTAAACTGACAAGACGTGTTCTTCATTAACGTTTATATAATTAGTAAACAATAAATATGTTTAATCCGTAGATGTGAAGTTTTAATTATCTTAATGTCGAATCTTTTATTATATATTTTATTATCGTTATTTGGAATATTTAAACAATTCTGATAATTTGTTTACTTATCAGAGTCATTGTTATTATTTTTTTATCTCTGGATATCTGAATTTTTTAGATACCATTAAGACTGAGAAACAATAAACAACTTAATTCAGCGCATGCTCAGCTGTTATCATGAAAACAGCTTTTTTGAAGAACACAATCATTACAATTATACTATTTTTGTATGTGGCACAATGTTAGCGATATATAAATAACGAAATTAAATTTTCAGGTCTGAGAAAAGTCATTAAACTACAAATGTTTCATTTCACCATAACAAATTGGAAGTAAAGGCACAATTATTGAAATAAAAAGACATATTGACTTGAATAGTTTGACCAAATAATGACAAGGTATATAAGTAAAGTTTTACATAAAATTAATTACGAAATACATTTCAATTAAAGAATAAAATCAATAAAGATCAAAAAGAAACAAACGAAATATAATCGTTAGTTACAGTGTTGAAAACAGTCACAAGTAATTTTCAAGAAGAGTGTTTCGAGTTGTCCTTTTTGTAATTAATTAATTAAGTCCGGTTTAATTTTATTTGTAAGTTAAAAAATTGAATGAAACAATGATATTTGGTGTCATTATTTTGTTGGTTATATTTTAAACTTTCAACAGGATTAGACATCTCGTGTTCAACACTTAGGAATAACCAGATTTATTTTCTTCTGTTAATGGGAAAGAAAACTCATTCTGCAAGGAAGTTGTGTTTTTGAAAGATATTTTCATTATTCTATAAAGTAGGTAAATGTTGAATGCTAGAAGTTCGGCATAAATAGTAATTAGTACTTGTAAACACCTGACACAGTTTGTGGGTTAAACGTTTACTCCAGGTCATTTAATAATACTGCCTTAAGTTTTTAATGTTTTCGGTTGAAGACTAACAATAACGAAAGTAGGCGTGAAATAGACATGACACGTTTGAAAGGCACTAAGTATGCGTAACATACTGAACTTGTTGCGATTGAAGGGATAGCAATTAATATGACTACAAGCGAAGAGGGGGTAAACTCTCAATAGTTTTGCTTTTAGAAACAACATTTATGAATTAGCCTGTACATTCCCTTCACATAGAGTTGCAGAGTTAGTGAGGTAAAGTTTATTGTTAGAGTTAATCTTACATTCAGAATCAGGCATGTATGTGCATTACTCCTGAAGTCTGAAAGAATAATTATCTCGTTGTTGTTGGTTTTTTTTCCTGCTCTAGTAGCTGATATGTTCGCCAGTTTTGAGGTATTCTTATTCGATATATTCTGTGCCACTTTCAGCCTGGACGCTAGAATGCACTTTCTAAACAAAAATCATGTTAACAAAAGGTGACATAAAAAAACGCGTGAGCACATACACACACACACACAAAAGCTATGCATAGGCCCGAAGTATGTGGGTTGAACGAAAGTTGACTCCAATGAAAGGTTTAACAGTCTCTTTCGTTTGTGGAGTTAAACTAGCGAAACATGTGAAAGTACATTCTAATGAAACACAGGTTCGTAGAGCTGAACTCTAGGGACACGCAGGTTCGTAGAGTTAAACTAAGATGAAACACGGTCTGTAGAGTTAGAATTTAGTGAAAGGTAAATCTGTCTAGGGTTAAAAACTCTAGTGAAACAAATTTATAGAGGAAGATTACTGGAACACAGGTCTGTAGAGCTGAAGTGCAAAGAAAATCACGTGGAGATAGATTCAAGTAAAATAAAGATCTATGTAATTTGATTGTGGTGAAACACATACTGTATAGATACAGTCTAGTGAAACACATGTTTGTGAAGCTAAACTAGTGAAATTCTCACTGACCTGTATTTCGCTTGAATCTACCTGCATATACCCATGTTTCACTAGTTTAGCTTCACAAACATGTGTTTCACTAGACTGTATCTATACAGTATGTGTTTCACCACAATCAAATTCCATAGATCTTTATTTTACTTGAATCTATCTGCATATACCCATATTTCACTAGTTTAGCTTCACAAACATGTGTTTCACTAGACTGTATCTATACAGTATGTGTTTCACCACAATCAAATTCCATAGATCTTTATTTTACTTGAATCTACTTGCATATACCCATATAAATTAGTGAAACAGAGCCCTTGATAGTCTACCTCGACAAACATGAAATGTGCTTGAACAGATTGGTTTGTGTAGCTAAACTCTAGTTAAACTCTGGGTTGTGAAACACAAGTCTGTAGAGATAGGCTCTAAGAAAACACAAGTCTGTAGAGAGAGGCTCTAAGGAAACACAGGTCTGTATAGCTACACTCTTGTGAAACAAAGGGCTTTAGAGGTACACTAACGAAACGCAGGTCTTTCGAAGCAGACGCTAAGGAAACACAGGTCTGTGGAGGTAGACTCTGTGAAGCTAAGTCTGTAAAGTAGGGAAAACAGGTCTGTAAATTTATACTCTAGTGAAACGGAATTCTGTAACGGTAGACATTGTCAAGTATATATATATATGTGTAGAAACAGGCACTAAGGAAACACATGTCTGTGGAGCACGACTACAGAAAATAGACCCGCAGAAGATTATGATGAAACGCGGTTTTATGTATTTAAGATATATCGAAACACAGGTCTGCGGATTTAGAATTTAATGAAACGCAGTTTCTGAGCTAGTCTACAGTCAAATAAAAGTTAATATTAAAATTAACGTTTTTTAATGAATATAACTAAAGAATGGCACATTCTCATTGCTGACAATGTAATTTCCCAGTATGCTTCCTAAATTCTGGCGAAAAGTTTTTAGTTTCTTTAATTATACATACAATATATATCAATATGTATTAATTAACATACTTCTCGCATCTAAGATAGTTTGATATTGATAGTGCTATTACCCACTCAGTGTTAAAAGATCTTTTGAACAGGTGAGTGTACACTCAATACATGCAAAGTTCTTCAAATGAATATGAGAAAAATGTCATATTTTCTAAAAACATTCTAGAAACTTCACAATTGGAAGATTTTTGACACTCCAAGCCTGCACAAGGAAACTGGATGATGAGGGTTAGTTGGTTAAAACACATTTGTAGCTTTGTTATGCTTATAAATTTGTTTTTTATTCAGAAGTTATGTTAGAAGACGGTTTAACATCGCTTAATTTTTTGCTTTCATATTATTGCGAAAGACGAAAGCACCGAAATAAATTGGTTTCAACATGTATTTTAAACATTTTGGCATGTTTACAAAGAACCTGTACGCTTGTATTTATACAACACACAACACTTTCGACAAAAAAAATGGTAACGCTATCTTAAACTGATGTAATCCTTGACCTCGAATTCATATTGTTTTGAACTGCCAGTTCTCTCTTTTCTTTTTAACAGGTTGTAAGAAACAATTTACACACGAGCTTTTAACGAACAATTATATATTTTTACTCCATGTTATTTTTTAGTATCTACCTGTCTTTCTATCAGTCCGTTACTCCGTGAAATTCTGATAATTTTATGAATGTATAATAATTTACTAAAACACTAATTTTAATTCACATCAAGCCCAAAATAAGATCTTGTTATTAGTCTAATACTATTCTTACCAATTCCCGAGAGGGACTATGTCCTACATTTCTTGTTATAACGGTAGTAGTAAAGTTTGGATTAGTTCTTCCGCTGCCCCTGGCAGCACTGCTGCTATCTCGATCGGATGGCATAGTGAGAAGTGACACCTATTGTTTGTTTTGTTTTTTCTCTCGCGATCTTTAGGAAGAATGATGTAATTTATGGAGTCAGCTGATCTATATTAAAATCAAATGTGTATAAATATTAATATACATAAATTACAGTACGTTTAACATAGAGAAAAGGTAAATTAACTATTTCTAATAGATCTGGGAACAAAAGAAGATTAAGAAATATCTATTTATTTCGTCAGCAAATTAGTTTTTCACTTACTTCAGTTGAAAAATTAAAAAAGCTCTTTCTTCAAAGATATAGTTTAATTAGAAAGTTCTATTGGCTGATCGCTGGAAAACCAACGTCCAGATTAAATAATCGTTAGAAAAAAACAAAGCTGGAAACTAAATCCGGAAGTTAAGCAGTTTATTGTGTATATTACATGTACTTATGTGGTTCTGTGTAAACGTCGTAGTTAAAGCTAATTAATTCAGCTTCATAAATCATGAATAGTAAAAGGCTTATAATGTACCAGGTTTAGATTATATCGCCTTTACAGTAGTGTTGAAATGCAGGGAGATTTCGTGACTTGGCCCACGCTAAAACGGGTTTCTAGACATCAAAAAGAAAAGAACAGAACTATTCTGAATATGCTATATATTTTTCACATTCTGTGAAATGTGTTAATACCTTTTACTTTTCTTGACAAAAAACTATAGAATATTTAAAATGCTGTTTATGGGGAAGAGTTACAGAGCAGAGCGAAGGACCAACCCGCTAGCACGAGGCAGAAATTCATACACACCTATAAATACAACACAGGGCCTGCGTGAAGCAATCATAGTTTATTAACAGGTGAAAAACAAATAAAAAAAACGGATGAAAGGACTGAAATCCGGTTTGTTTAGAGCTCTGGATGTATTTTAAGCAACTATTAGTTGATTTCCCTGAGAAGTGCCACATTCAAACTGTCATATTAAAACAAGCATGTTTTGTTAGTAACAGAATAGATATAACATACAGATCAACAACCTCAAGATACGTCATTCTGCTAGCCCATAACTTATTTTAAGCTCAAGATTACTACACGTGCAGTTAGATGACTGTGTACTGGTAATTTTAATAACCTTAGCTTGAAGTCGCTTGCTGCCCAAATTAAAATACCGGCAATATTTTAAAACAGATGTCCTGAATTCCAAGTAAATCATAGGTGTTGTGAAAATGACCCATGCACGTTCTCAGGAAATGAATTAAGCAGTAAGGGCTCGCTTTTACAATTATTTGAAGACAACTTGGGGAAGAGAATAATGAGCTCTAAACGGTTGTCCTACCCAGTCCTTACTACATATTGTTGAAGTGCATGAAGACACTGGAAATGGTACTATTTCTTTCAACAATTTATACCATAAGAGCAATGTATGGCAAAAATATGTAATAAAAGTATGTAAGATGTGTAGATATTTATGTGACGCTACTAAATAATACCATAACTATCCGAAACCTTTTTATAGCAACAAAAAATAAATAAATAAAAACTACAATAAGTTTAATAAATTGACAAAAAACAACAACAATAGAAGCAAAAACAAACGCCAACCTGTATAAGTAGTTCAGGAAAGTTCATTTACATAGAAGGTTTACTGAAAATCTAAATATCCATCCATAGTAACAAAGACGATACATGAGCGCCTGTGACTACTTTCAAAGTCCGGCATTTTGGGAGTACTTTTTTTCTTTTTTTTTCCAAAGGTTGGGGTCAAGAAAAATATTCTTAATACGTTTGTTTCATTAAGCTGATTTATTGTGAACTATCCTAAAGGCTTTAACAAGAAATGTAATGGGTAATATTTCTATGCGTTTAATTTTGTTTGTTTCTTATTAAACACAAATCTATACAATGGGCTATCTGTGATGTGCCCACCGTTATCAGTATCGTCGCAGCAACTACGAGTGTAGCATTCTTTAAAAGTTATTCCAAAATTAAAAAATGAAAGAAGAAAAAACATCTAAACACTCATAATTACACCAACAGAATTCAAGAATTGGCACCATACGCTAAATTTCTTAAAGACACACAAAAGGTCATATAGGCCAGTGATTTATAGTAACTAATACTAAATATAAGGGATGTGAAGAAGCGCACTCTTCAGTGATAGTTAAAAGTATTTCTTCAATGTGTAGAATGTTTAAAGGCAATAAACATCTGTGAATATTTAGTTTAGGCGACTGCGTAAACCTACATTTCTAGGCTACCAATAAATATAGGTCATAGCGTATGAAACTTGTACCTTAGGATTACGCATGAGGCATGAAAATTTAATTTACATCCATGAACTAGTGTAGTGAGTTTAATTTGTACAATGTTGATATTCTAAGCCAAGTCAAATGAGATATCCTACATAATAGTCTACATCATCATCTTTGAACACCTAGTGGCGAGTTAGATAATTATGCTTTCTTAAATATGCCCTTCACTGTGTTAGGTCCTGGCACAGGATGTTGGTTAGGCCCGTTAGGGCACTCAACAATCTGCGGGTTGCAAGATCGAAACCATTCACCGAATGTGCTCGCTCTTTCAGCTATGCGGGTGTTATAATGTGAGGGTCGATCTGAATATTTCTTAGTAAAAGGTAGTCCATGAATAGGTGTTGACTAGATGCTCTCTTTTTAGTATATGACTACAAAATTAGGGACGGCTAGCGCAGATAGCCCTCGAGTATCTTTTGAAAGAAGTTCGACAAACAATTACTTTGTTAGTTAGCCACATACTTCTGTATTTTAAAACGCTATTCCATACAGACTACAAAACAATGTCTCTTTGACCTAACATTTTGTGATCGTTAAGTTTCAGTCAATCAACTGCTGTGATTATAATTTTTCTTTTTCTAAATGGCCTCCGACGGTTCAACAGCAAACTTGAGGCTAATAACGCAAAAACAATTGAGGTTTGACACTTAAGATGGTCACAGCGCAGATAACCCACTGTGCAGCACTGTGCTTAAATCAAAATAAGCTTTTTCAAACTAGCATAATAGTCTTAGTTATGTTATGTATTTTTGTTATCTAAAAACCCAACTTTTACTTAATAATCTATGATAAACAGATTCAGTGTTTTCCCGTAATATTTGTAAGTCTAAATGATTTGTCGAATTCCCTAATGGTTCTACAGTCTTGGCCAAAATGTTTGCACATTTTGTAACAAATCAGATCGTTATTACTAGCATGGAATACAAATACACTTGGCGCTATCAAATTGGGAAATGTATGTTATATTAAATATCTACATGCGTAATTTGTATATGAGACAAGTTCTATGGATATCATGAATGATTTATTAGAACAGAAAACGCTTTCTTCAGACATCTGTAGAAAGATGTGTAATTCAGCATTTCACCTATCACAACAAAACCTTACCAAAACATATATAATGACAAAATGTAGCATTACATTATTATAAATAGGGTCAGTAACCCTATATCAGTTCATATTTAACATTCAATACTTGATTGGTCCTCCTCGTATTTCAATAACCTCTACAAGGTACCTAATGATGCCTTTACGGGCGAAACCATGAAGTATTTATGAAACGTACAACTGTCTTTGTTTGTTTTTTTTCTGTTTTTTTCTATATCATTGAATTTGTCTATATACGAATAATATAATATCGTTTTTTCAGAAAAAGGATAAAAAAATGTCAAGCTAAAAAGACTTGTTAAATTTCCAAAGAAGCATAATTGTAGGCGAACGTTAAATTGGATTCCCAGTCACACAAACACCTAAAATGAGGAATGTATTCGAAGGAACAGCGTGGATATAGAAAAATATAACCTTAACAGACAAACATAATAGTTGTTGAGAAATTAAGTTTACTGATGGTCATAGGTGCTGTCATTAACAAATCTCTAATAATAAAAAAAATTTAAATACTCAAGTAAAATGATGTTAATAACATACGAACTTGAATGAAAATCAATGAAATAATGTATCATGTTCAGGTGAATCATCTTCCACATTTTTCTTGGCCAATGAACAAGTTTATGTGCGGCGATAACCAATGGGATCTTATAGTCTTAAATGTTTTATGCCATCAATTAAGCATGGTGGAATCTCTGTGATGATGTGGATAGCTTTTTGTTGGAATATTTTAAAGCCTATGATCTCACTAAAAGTTAAAGGGACAAAAATTATTGCTTAAACCTTACAATGAACACTTTATTCTGACACAGAGATGCTTTGTTTTAGTAAGACAATGTATTTAACATGGTGCTGAAATGGTTAAAGTTTGGTTTAAGGAATATAAGAAAGAGTTTGCGTACCTAACTTGACCACCACATTCACCAGATTTAAATTTTGTTGGCCTTATGGTCAGTTCTTAACACCAAGCTTCATAATAGATTTTCACCATCAACATCACTTCAACAGTTACAAGAAGTTTTGATCGATGTCTGATGCCCAACTCCTTGTTTCATCAACTTCGTGTCGCGTAAATAAATGCTGTACTGTCTATCCAAAGAAGACCAAATCCGTATGATAAAATATAGAAAATAACAGGTGTTTTCATCATTTTGTCCAACCACTGTTCAAATAAGTCAGCCATAGATATTGGAGTAAGGGTATATAAGGTCGCAACTTGTGGACCATGAAGCTTTGTTTTACACTACAAATTCTAGTATTAAGAAATAAAACATCGGAATGACAGTACTAATAATTTGTGAAACGTCATTCTTGGACCTTAATACGTTTTCCCATCTCAGTGAAGTGGGTCAGTTTGACAATCTGTATGTTTCGGTTTCATTATTTCTAGTTTTTTACACCTAATTTATATGATAGAACCACATAATGATTATCTTCATACTGTGGTGAAATTATTGTTATACTTTAGAAGAATCTATACTTTGATTTTTTCTCTTTTGCAAAAGTTAAACTACATTGTATTTATAAAAGTTACATTAGTATAATAATGTTCACGTTACGTATGTTAGTATATTCAGGATGGCCTCATTCTTTACAAAATATTTTTCTCTGATTTTCCAGATTTTTAGGACCTGCACACGTATCGACACAATGATATTTCAAGTTTTCCTCATAATCCTATCAAATTAAAACCATTTTAGCTTATTACCTGATTCTTCAAACTGCAGTACTACAGAAAAACGAACTTCAAACAAATACATTACATCTTGGTGGTAGATAAGATATTGTACTTTTACTTATAGAATAATATTTGATCTAACCTATTATCAAGTATAATGAATTAAGTAATTATCACCAGATAAAATACCATAGAGTAACATAAACTGACAATATACCAATAATTGACAAAATCTGCTGCGTGCAAGTTCTGATATAAAATGGGGACACTTTTCAAACTTCGTCACTTTTTCAGAATTTTTATAGGTTCGGTGTCACCTTGGTAAATGGAATAGAACCGAAATTGTGGGTTGAGGGGTGTGAATTTATTTTGGAAGTTTAACAAGCTAAACCCACCTATTAGAGTTTATTCAGAAACGAAGTTTCGACCACACAGCGAAGGGCTTCATCAACTCAATATTTAGGGTTAGCGTACTTCGGGTATTTAAAATGTTATTTTAAACTTTCTTTAACCCACAAACGAATGTAGCGTAATAAGAGAGAAAAGATTGAAAAAAAAAAACTCGTGAATGAGTGAATAGGGAAATGTTAATGAAATGAGCAAAGAGAGCAAGGTAAGGTAAACGAAATCAAACAAGAAGACAGGGACAACTATGAAGGGCATACTGATAAAATCAAACAAGAAGACAGGGACAACTATGAAGGGCATACTGATAAAATCAAACAAGAAGACAGGGACAACTATGAAGGGCATACTGATAAAATCAAACAAGAAGACAGGGACAACTGTGAAGGGCATACTGATAAAATCAAACAAGAAGATAGGGACAACTATGAAGGGCATACTGATAGAATCAAACAAGAAGACAGGGACAACTATGAAGGGTATACTGATAAAATCAAACAAGAAGACAGGGACAACTGTGAAGGGCATACTGATAAAATCAAACAAGAAGATAGGGACAACTATGAAGGGCATACTGATAAAATCAAACAAGAAGACAGGGACAACTATGAAGGGCATACTGATAAAATCAAACAAGAAGACAGGGATAACTATGAAGGGCATACTGATAAAATCAAACAAGAAGACAAGGACAACTGTGAAGGGCATACTGATAAAATCAAACAAGAAGACAGGGACAACTATGAAGGGCATACTGATAAAAACATCCATAACCAGGAGAATAGTTTTAAGTTAGAAGAACATTATTGAGTGGACTGAATAAGTAAACAAAATTACAATTATTCAGCGCAACGAACTAATATAACTTCGCTTGTACCAAACTCATGTTGAGTAGGGAAAACGTGACCGAACAAGAAAACAGTAAATTGAAACACATTAGTTTAACTTATGAATAAAGATAATTAATCCTTAAAAACAACTCAATTTATCATTTTTGCAGGAAGAATGTTATTAACAAGCATGTTCTAACTGAACTTGATAGTGTTTCTTAACAATTATGTTATGATTATATTAAGCTTATAAACACTGTTAAATATCTTGGAGTTTCATACGACAGGACGTTACATTGGAAAGAGCGCCTAAATTAATTAATTAAGAAGGTTAGAGCAGTGTAACTATACTTTGATAACTTTGTTCGAAAGTTCATGGTTGTAGTCGTGAAACTAGACTGAAAACGTATAAAGAGTATAGTAGAACAGATTTTCAATGTGCATGCAGATCTTAATTCAACCTTTCTGAACATAATCTGAACCCATTTCAAGTAATTGACAATATTCGTTTAAAAACTGCCACCAATTTATCTTTATATATATATCTATTAAATAATACATACACAAACTAGTTTTCATATGCTAGATACGAGATTGAGATTTGCAGGTATTACATATTATGATAAGCGTTGCTTGGCTATTTGATGTTAATTAAGCACAAAGCTATACAATGAGATATCTGTGCTGTGCCTGCTACAGTTATCGAAACCCGGATTTTAGCGTTATAAGCCTTCAGTCTTACTGTTGAGCCACTGGGGGAGCGATAAGCAAGAAATAATTTTATTCTTAAACAACTTATTACTGAAACATATTTTAAAATAATAAACAAAATTTTCCATTTAGTCTATACTGTCATTGAAATTTTTGTTTTAATAATGAACAATTTATGTATCATTTAAGACGATCTTAATTCAAATATCCCCCAGTGATATAGCGGTAAGTCTGAAGGCTTATAACGTTAAAAACCGGTTTTCGATACTCATGGTGGGCACAGCACAAATAGTCCATTGTGTTATTTTGTGATTAATCACAAACAAAAAACCTCAATTCAAATATCGTAAGTTTAATTATTTAACATATTAAATTATTGGATTCTAGATAATTCTTACTTTCTGTATTTCATAATTTTGTTACTATGCGTTTTAAAATATTTTGAATTTATTCTATATTTTAAATAGTTAAATTTCAAAAATCCTTTATAATTTTCTTAATTTAACTTGTTTCCATTCAGCGGATTCTGATTTTACTTTTTGTTAATTTGGTTTTACACTAGATTGTGGTAATACTTAATTATGTAAAAAATGTTTTCCGATAATTAATCTTATGTTGTTTTTTAAAGTAATGTATATAAGGTATATATATTTATCTAAAAACGTGTCTATAAATATTGCTACAAGCTTAAAATTAAGTAAAAAAACCTTAACCTTACGGAGTTACAGCGCTAAAATCTGGGGATCGATTACCCGCGGTGGTCATAGCAGATAGGCCAATGTGGCTTTGCTCTAAAAACAAACAAATGTCCTCTAGCTTTGTGGATTTTTAATTTTTATTTTAAATTGTACCAATTCTAGTCTCAGTTTTAATTTATTCGTATTTTTATCTTAGATTTATTTGCATCAATGATTTATTTTACCTGAAAATTAAATTTAATCCTTTAAATTATTATTTTAAATAAATTGTGTAAACTAAGTCCTTTTGGTGGAAAAGGTCTTTGAGTCAAAGAATTATCCCAGCTTAATCAAACACTAAATAACCACCTAGACACTAGTGACTATAATGTGATGAAGACTCCGCTTTAAACTTACAAGAGTTACAGTAATATGAAACGACCTATAGTATAAATTTTCAAGCAAAATGGAAACTGACCCAGATGCTGTGTTAGTAATTAGAAAAATTTAGAGGTAGCATAAAGCTTTCTAAAAAAAAATCAGCCTGGGGTGGGTACCTTCGAAACGTTGAGGAAACACATCACCGACCTACACCGCAAGTGTTCCAGTAACACGAATACAGCCCACTTTCATGATATTTAGTAACAGTATAAACTACTTTGCGTTAATCTTTATTAGAATTCCTTCTTAAGTCGTCTAGCTGAAGGGGTGTCTCTTCGCAACATCTTCCACTTCCTACGAAAAATATAAACTTTTTCTTGTATAGGTAGTGATTCTACTTTCCACTATCATGAAAGCATGTGACTTGTAAGTCTTGACGTATAAGTGTTTTCTTGCCAAATACAACAATCTTATATTACTCTAGCAACCAACGTCTTAGAGATGATATTAAGTTTCTTTGACTTTTCTTAGAATAATTTCGTTTTTATTTCTGCCTTGTCGGGCGGTTGATCCTATTCTTTAAAAACCGCTTCAATCCTTGTAAGAGCATTTTGGCACTTAATAAAAAGCGCTGAACCTGGAGTGCTTTCAATTATCTTTCTTGTTTCAGATGGGATTAAGTCACATTCTTAACAGTTACTAACCCTAGAAAACAGCGGATATTAGTTTAACTTCCTTGTATGCAGGAATAGAGATAAAGAAATGACGAATAAACGAACTGATAGGTAGGTGGATAGACAGATAAAGAAAGCCAGAAACACATGTACAGCTAGATAAATGATTTCTACTTCACTGCAGTAAGAAATGTTTAATAACGGAACAAATGAGTGAATATCTAACCATTAATTATATGAAGATGAATAAATGTATGAGTAATTTACATGTTTTAAGAGATTAATATAACTTTTAGACACCCGCAGTGAAAAGTTGAATTAATATCACACTTGATGAAAAGGAAAAACAAGTTGGGCACTATAGTGTTAGCAGAATGCTCAATATACTGTATATCACAAGTAGTAATACAAACTTAGAAAGAATCCGTAAGTGTATTCATTCATCTTTATTAACACGTAAGGGCGGTCCATGTTATTGAGGTCAACTATAAAACAATAGTTCACAAGGAAACTACTGTTTCGTAAGTTAGGAATTGCAACTGAAAGTAGCTTATTAGAATTGATTATGAAAAAACTCGTTTTTCTTTGAAGGAGGAGAAAGTAACAAAAGACGTCCTTGAAAGATAAGATAGTACTTTTTGAAGCATTGTTGCGATTTCAATACCAGAACTCGTCAGAGGGTCTGGATGGCAAAAGTTTATTTGAAACTATATTTCCATAAGCAGTAAAATATGTCCAAAGTTAACGGAGTAAAAAAAAAAAAGATGTAAAGTTTTCATACATTTCTGGTTCGAAATCCAAAATAGGCGAACTAGGAAGTATGGAAAAAATGAAATATAAAACTCATGTGTAGTCTCAGTAGTTTTGATCAGATATATTAATCCATATTTAAAATAATTTTATAGAATTATAAGTTAAACTAAATGGAAAATGTACTGCTTTACATATACACACACATATGAATGTGACAATATGCATTTCAAAATGTATCTATATATTACTAGTTTTACACTTTACATATCTATAAAGACAGATATTGTTCGAAGCATTGTTATGACTTAAATCATATATATATCGTTATAATTTTTAATCATATATTGTGCTTTTTGGTGACTCAGCGGTAAGTTTGAGGGCTTATAACGCTAAAAACTGGGGCTCGGTAATTGCGACGGGCACAGCGCAGATTGCCCATTATGTAGCTATGCACTTAAACATAAATAAAACAACTATATTTGATTGATTTCTTACACACGTGACTAATATTTCGGTATGCCGGTGTAACCATCTTAACAGCGGTTCATCACGTGCAATTAAACTACTTGCTAGACCAAAACTATTAAACAAGTAAATCAGTTAACTAATAGGTGAATCAATACATAAATAAGATGGACATACTTTCATTTAGATGCTGGGCATTCAAGATACTGGTTAGTTGAGTGAATTTAGAGTATCCGGTTCATGCTCAAACAACGAACACGTGTAGATGATTTTGTACGACTGAAGTAACTTGGAAAATTCGTTCTTCATCAGGAACTTCAATATACAAAATGAATACACGTATATGTACTACATGAGGCTTAAAAACGGAAAGAGTAAGCTTAAAACTGAAACAATATTTCGAGGAATATAGTTTCAATTTGTATTCGTTTATTAAATTTTAGCGTTACTCATTAGATTTATAACCCATGTAATTTCTCACCGATCTTTGTGGATATCATTTATAACAAGTATTAATTTTTTATTAACTTCTGAACTATATTCAACTGTCTTAGACTTATTTATATCCTAAATCGCTTCTTTCTGGTTCATTCCTCAATACTTATATTTCTTGCATCTTTTATTCTCTTCAATACATGTTTTATATTCTTTTCTAATATCCAGGGGTGAAATTCTCAAAACAACAAAGTAAACGTACTCAGCTGGGTGAAATGGACCTGTTTTTGATAAAGAAAAAAAATCTACGTGTAAACATAAAAAAGACAAATCAGCTCAAATAAGTCCTGGTACTGGTACAGCGTTAAAAAAAATAAGTTCCGGTACTCAGTATCGGTGAGTATTCTTTGTTTGTTTGTTTGTAATTAAACACAAAGCTACACAATGGGCTATCTGTGCTCTGCTCACCACGGGTATCAAAACACGGATTCTAGCGTTGTAAGTCCACAAACATACCGCTCTGCCACTGGGGGGCATCGATGAGTACGGCAGAGTTTCACCCCTGCTAATATCCATCGCTCATCTTAAATTACTCTATAATCTGCCTATTTTAAATCAATTGCATGCAATTAAAGGCTTATATTCAGTAAATGTGTATCATAATTTGCTTCTTAAATATTATCTTTATCCAAACTAACTTGTTTGGCCCTGCATGGCCAGGTGGGTAGGGCGCTCGACTCGCAATCTGTGGGAGCGTTATAATGTGACGGTCAATCCCACTATTCGTTGGTAAAAGAGTAGCCCAAAAGTTTTCCCTCTAGTCTTACACTGCTAAATTAGGGACGGCTAGCGCAGATAGCCTTCGTGTAGCTTTGCGCGAAATT